CTTGTGAAATTTCTTGGGATTTAGTGTTATGTAGGCATGCTATGTGTCTATATTGTGCCTTTGTGAATGAAATATGTTAGTGACAGATTATGTAATAACATGCCTGTGGTATTGTTGTTGATATATGCTTAGTGATATATTGACGATGTGATAAATTTTGGTGATTATATGCATATGATGTAAGTTGCCATGGAATATGATGATATACGGTTAAATTGCTCATTTGGCACTCATTTCATAGTGGGCATAATGTTGGCATCACATTCATGGGCAGTGGGCATGAGTGTATATGTGTGTGAATGGTGGATCAAACACCATGCTTGGTGGTTGATAAATGGACTCGGGAAGGTAGGATCGAAGATCCAGTTAAGTCATATGGTTGCATAAAAAACTTATGTCGGGTATAGCAAGAAGGGATAGATTCTCCCTCGGGTGAAAAACCCAGCTACTTGGTTCATACACTCCCTTGTGGTGAAATTCCAAAAAAGTGTAATGGCGTATGGAGCCAGCAGTGCGATTCCAAAATCCGATACCCAATAAAGACACATGAATTTTTTTTTATAAAGTACTCATTCGATGGGTAACATCCAACAATAATTTTGTTTTATAAACACATGACTTTTATTTCAAGCAAACATTACATGTATTTCATCAATGACAAATGTAATATACACGTGTATTGCATTGTATTGTGGGAGTCGGTGAGGACTCAGGTTAAAGTGCATTAGTGAGTATCATCTCATATCATGACATGAAATGGTAGAATTCCCATCTTGAATTACATGTTCTTGATTGGAATGGATAATGGTTGTTGATTGTTGCATGAGCACATTTCATATGTATCTAGGTTGGGGAGTAGCCTCTGTAGGAGATATTTTATTGAGCGTAGCTCACCCTATACGGGAAAATAGTTTAGGTGGGGGATACACGCCGATGGACGGCTCTTATTCCGGGCCTCGAGGATGAAAAGAGCCTGACTTGTGGCCTTTAATCCATATATTTTTGAAAAAAATTGTGAAACTAATGTTTTGGACATGTAATATTTTGAAAATGACTATAAGAGCACTTGTTCTTAACTAGGTTGATGTGTAAATATAGTGTTATATTAGTTGGGTTGGTTTTGGAAATGAATTGGAAATGAAAAATAGGTGAAATAGACAAATCTGGGCAAAACCTACCAGTAGGACATCAACCTACCGGTAGAACGTTGTCCAGTGGGCAAAACCTACAGGTAGGACATTAACCTACTCATAGAATGTTGCACAGAAAGAACTTTGTCCAGTAGGCAAAATCTATCGGTAGAACTTTTCCAGTGGACAAAACCTACCGGTAGGTCTTCCAAAAATCTGAAATTTTAAGAACGCTTTACCAGGCCTTTGGGCTATGTGTTCTGCCAATTCAATGATATAAATGAATTATAAATTGTGGTATATTGGACCCAGTTGGGTCAAATGGCAAAATATGCATGTGTTATATGTGTAGGTAACAATCTTGGTTAAAGGGATTCTATTGATGTGATGTCGAATTGGGTGACAATCATGAGTATTTCCGCTGGTTGACTGATAATCAATAGATGATAAAGGACCCCCGATTTTAGGGGCGTCACATTGAGCACTTGATGGGGTGCTTTATGCATGCCCTTACTAGCTCTTTACCTACAATCAAACAAATATTTATTAATTATCCATTTGAAGCCGTTTCCCCCAAATTTCACCACAAAACAAGTTAAATTGTAAGCAATAGAGATGCATGATGAACAATATTCTATACTCATCACAACCCCCAACTTGATTTTTGCTAGTCCCCAGCAAACTTTATTTTCAAACTATACTACATAAAAAAAATAAAAACAATTTCATTCATGTTAAACAATTCACAGATCAACAAAATACTCAAATCATAATGCAATTATATAAACGAACTTGGGCCAAAATGAAACAAACAAAAAGTAGTTATTTCATTCATAATTATATGAGGTTCAGTACAAAGATTTCAAGACACAACAGCCTGTGCTCCTAGGGACTCTTCTAATAGGATGACTACCACTAAACCACTATTTCCACTATGTAAAACCAACCAAAAGGAACAAAAACGATAGTAGGATCTCTCTACTCCTCCACGTCACTAGACTCATCATCATCACCCTCATCATTGTCATCCTCCTCTTCATTAGACTCTTTATCATTGGAATCCTCCACCTCTACAACAGTCGAGCTAGTGGGGGCAGAAGTGGATGGCTCAGAGGTGGAAGGTGGTGGCACTTTGGGGAGAGGTTCTCATGGAAAATTCCTCTAGAAGATCCTGGTGACCATCAGCTTCAACAGCTACATAGTCCTACCAAAGTTGTCCAACCTTCCTTCAGTCGCATCAAGGAATTTAGAGACCGTTTGAGGTAGGGCAACCATGGATGGCACGGAGGTGGAAGGTCCAATTGTAGGTGGCTCGGCCCTCGATGGCCTAACTCTCTCTTCCCTATATGCAGACCCTTCTATCATGGCCGACCTCTTCATGCTACTTGTCTTGCCTATGGGGCCAAACTCCGGCGGAAATCGGTGGGGATGCCCTTTACCTTGTTATGGTGGCAAATCATTATGACAAGATGGGCATAAGAAAGATTCGCCTTCAGCTCCTTAGCCTAGGTGTATTCCTTCATCACCTCCCAAATAATGAAGGCAATGTCCATCCTATTGCTCGACATGAAAGCATGGAGAAGGGCTAGTTTCTCCTCCCCCAAAGTCTTCTCCGCACCCTGAGGTAACATATTGTAATGGAGTACTTTGTTCATTACCCCATAAGAATGCTTGAGTGTCCCCACTTGAATTTTTCCCTTAAATTATGTCAGGTCCTCATACATCAAATTTGTATTTTTTGGAGTGACTTCCTCCCATGGGTGTTATAAGGATAGACCGTGGTGTTGATGCTTGACAAAATTCCTTGTAGTCTCCTAACCTCTAAACATCACCTTTTAGCATGTAGAGTTTATAGATGAAGGAGAGTGTCACTCTCCTATGGGTGATGCCAAAAGAAAAGGGAAGGAGATGGGGTAAAATGAAATGATGGTAATGTGATGTGTAAATGCACAAAAAGTGTGTGTGTGTACAAAAGCGCTCCCCAAGCGCAAGGAGTCTTTTGTATGTCATGTTTTACTTGGAAAAGTATTCCAAGGCCGTATCCTCAGGGAAGGAAAGTTCAAGTGTGTGAAGGTGATTTTGTGAAAAGGGAAAAGTGTAAAATCTTTTGTTTGTGTTTTGGTGATTGGAGTTTGTGAATGAAAATACAATAAAACAAGTGTTGGCTATTCCAAAGAGGTCATTCCAATGAGAATCCCAACTCAACTCAAAACCTTCATCCAATGGTGCATAGATGAACGATTGATTCGTGGGAAGCTATGGACAAGATGGTGAGAATCCAAGCATAAACCATGACTAGGCCTATGAGATATCAAAGACTCACAACCCCATCCACTCTCAAACCAGTCAAACCGAACCATTGTACATCGAGAGGAGGAAAGAAAATGAGTTGAAATGGAATACCCAAGAGGAGTTCTCCCTTGGATTAGCCAACTTAGAGCTCTAGCTATTCATGTTTAAAGTAACAGCATTTATAATGTAAAGAGACAAGTAAAGGAAATAGAAATGAAAATGAGATGAAAATGAAACTTAGAACTTGTATTAATGCTAGGAAATGGTAAACTACAAAGAGAAGTTCATTTAATACTAAAATGGAAAAGTTGCAGAGAAGAGCATTGAAATCAAGCTGTAAATATTGAAGTGCAAGAACATGGAATTAAACTTGAAATAAAAGAGAGTACAATACAAGAAATAAAGATTACAAGAGAACTACAACTTACAGCAATAAAATGGGTGAAGAAAATGCAAAAACATAAATTTCTCTATTACACTATTCATCATCTTCTTCCTTGGGATTTTCTAAGCTTAGGTAGCCACCCTTCAAAATGAGTGTGAATGCTGAATATATGGAGTGTGAGTCTTGTATTTTTGTCTATGGAGGGTCCCCCTAGGTGTGTGAGCTGACCTCCAAGCATGGGGAAGGGGTTGGGCACTTACACAATCAAGGACAAGCCATCCTTTCAATCCATAATGCCCATCTCTTTCTCTCTCCTCCTCTCCCATCCCAAATCTTCCAAGGCTGACTTTGGGGTGTAGGAAACATGTATATATGTAGAATATGTTAGGGAGCAAGTGGTAGAATCATAGGTGGGACCCCCCAAGTAAGTGGAGCATGAGTTGTAGACGTTCAGGGCATTTTGGGTAAAACCTACCGGTAGGCTTTTAGGGATCTACCGGTAGGTTTTGGTCACTGAAGTAAAAACTACAGGTAGGTTGCCTGCTCCGGACCAATTTTTGTAGAATTGGCATAACCTTTGATCCAACCTTTGGATTGACCTGCAAATTTGAAACAATACGGAAGACATCCAGATCTACAACTTGCATGTTTTGCGCTTTTTCAGATTCAAAGTGCATCATGGTTCACAATGGGAAAAACTACGGTACTGTGTCAAAACCTTGGAAACTAGTGGGCTAAACCTTCCAAAATCCATTTCTCTTGGTTTTTTAACCTTCCAAGCCTCCCAATCCTCATTTAATGTGTCTATGCCTTCACACATATCCATACTAGGTTACAAGGTTCTAAAATACATGATTTACACTATAATTACCTGCAATATCGAAAATTCAACATTATTCATAATTTCGGCTAACTCTAAGTACTTAGATGCAAAAGTTGAGTTAAAATGCATGTAATGAGGCCTTCAAATATGCAATATTATGTGCTCATCAGTTGGGAAGAAGTCTCTGGTACTGTAATGCCTCCGCAATGACTACCGGGGTGACCTCCATTACCCTCCCTCTCACATTTATCTTTAACATAAATAAGTCCTCATCCATCACCCCTAACTTCTAATAAAAATCCCTATAGATGGGAAGCAAAAATCCCCCCACTGGCTGGAGCCAAACATTGATGCCATAGCCCTCTATCACTCAGATCACATCATCGTTTGGCCCGAGGGTGGGCCTATCTACTTGCCGCTCGTGCGTCATAGTCTTTCCCTTTATGCTCTCCATGCAAGGGTCATTCTTTTGTTTCTTCCTTTGTTCCCCAACATTGGAGCTTGCCTCCTCAGTCCTCTTGCGGGATCCGATTCCTATGGGTGGTAGAGACCCATGGCCCGTTTGCTTGGTACTAGCCATCACTATAAATAGTGCCCCTAGTGTGACGAATGGTAGTCACCAACCCCACACCAACTCAAAAATATCAAAGGATGCATGTGAAGTCTTACCCAATCGAGCCATTCCTCCAAATTCCAAGCTTCAATTGAAAATCAAGGTTTTTGATGGATTGGTGATGCTTTGTGAAAAAAAGAAGGGTTTTTGTGGGGTAGAGGTCAAGGAAATGAGGAATAATCACTGCGAATCAAAAACTTGAGGAAGATGATCAGTGGGTTTGAAGATAGGGTTTTTAAGGTTGATATGGATGCGGGATATGAAGGGTTTCACCAAATTTTTGGGTTAAAAACCTTCATGTTTGAGCTTCTGGGCATAGATCTACTAGTAGGTCATCGGGGTTCTACCGGTAGAATAGTAAACTAGAATATTTCTACCAGTACATTTTCAGCTTTCTACCAGCAGGAAACCCTTCTAGAAAACTTCTATCAGTAGGTTTTGCAACCTTCTACTGTTAGGTTTCAATTTTTTGCAAACTTTTTCCTACGCTCCCATCCGCACCCCCACTCCAAGTTTATTCGACTCCCACACAATCTAATGACCTATTTACTGACTCAACTTCACCAAAAAACAAGATCCATGCTAGTGAACCACAATGTGTAACCATACCCAAATTCATTTAAGAAATTGGAATGCAATTTGAGTTTTGATGCTTTCAAAACACATCACATTGAATTATAAATTCAACAAAATGAAAACCCGATATGTAAAGCACAAACTAAAGTACAAAAGACATTCCTCTTCCTTTCTCATATTTAAAATTTGAGCAATATTCCTCTATTCTACTAGCTCAGGGTTGCTTGACACAATTTTTTTAACACGTGAACCAATCACACATGGGTTTCATCATATAGCTTTAAATGTTGTTCTAGAGTATAAACCTACACATTTCTTTTCAAAATCGTGTATCTATGAAATGAACATGAAATTTAAGCATTTACTCAATGGAATCCACATTCACTAGGCTATCCAAATTTAGCTTTAATGCAAAAGTCACCATAGGTTTCCCTAAAAAACATTGAATAAATCTGTGATTATCCTGGCATGCTCTCCATATGTATATGTGAGATAGAATCTTGTGCAGAAATTGAAATATACTTACATATAATCCAAAAACGACGTACATGCATACCAATTGAAATGACATTGACATAATCTCATGAATGGAATGTTAGGGCTCTCACCATGCTTTCTCTAGATCATTTAGGACTTTCATGGGTTGTACTAAGGCCTTGGGATGATATTTGGGCTGAGTGAAATGAAGGCTAGAGGGAGACAAAAAAAGGTTATTTCGAGACATGACCTTTATTATCAAAAATCTCCTTTTTGCATTCTCTTTCTTTTCTTTTTCAACTATTTTTTTTTCAATCCTCTTTTTCTCCTTTTTCTTGATTTTTTCTATTCTTTTTTCATTCAAAATTTGAATTTAGGGCCATTCATTCCTTTTGGAGTTCCTCACCACATTTCCTTTTCTCCATGATTAATCCGAGTTAGTCTCAGGAAAAACCAAGGTGTGGTACTTGTAATCATTTTGCATTGGCTTGGTAAAACATGTGGCATGGAAATGAATTTTCAATAAAGGATCAATCATGGTACAAGGGATAAATTTATCACAAGAAAAAGGCTAAGGCTCAATGCAATTCAAAGATGGCCAAAGATCATCTCTAGATAAGCATGGGGAGGTATATTGGCATTTTAAGACTAAGTCAATCAACTACCCATATGCACTCTAACCAAAGCAAGCATAATGTTAAACAAATTTTTGAATTTGAAAAATTGTTCCTTTGAGTAAATTTAAGTTCCTTCCAACAAGGATTGACACTAAAGCTCACATGGGTACTTACTTCATCTCCACTATGTATGTCAAGCTCTAAAATATTGATCCAATCAGTAAATTTATGAAATTTACACATTCAAGGTGCACTATGATTGAGTTCAAAAGAAAACACATGTATAATACTTAGGCATATGATAAATTTATATGATGTACTCATCTGTTAAATGTTCAAAATGAAGATCAAACTATCACTAGACCCATAAAAAATTGAATAGGGGAATATGGTTCAACACTAAGATATTTTCCACATATTTATTTTTTAAAATTTTTCACCTTTTTCTATTGTATACAAAAAAATTTGTAAAATATGTGAATGGTCCATTTCACTACAAAATGGTATTGTTAACAAAAAATTGGTGTATCATACAAATTGTGCACCTCACCCCCAACTTGAACTATGCATTGTCCTCAATGCAACAAAAAGTTATGGAATTAAAAAGACAAGAAGGGTAAGAGAACACCTCACAATGAGCTTTGAAAAAAACACCACTATATGCACATATGAAGAAAGAAAACTATCCACAGATGAAAGTAAGTAAACAATTTAACTTGAAAAGTAAAGAATAAAGAAAAAACAATTGTACACTAATATCTACTTGAACAGTTATGCCTCAAAAAGGTCCATATAAACCGGATCACTGAACTCCTCTTCCACTATTTGAATTTGAAAGCCCTCAAAGCATTTTTAAACCTGTGGCCATTGACTTTGAATGTTTTACCATCTTTGGGGTTTTTTGTGTCCACGGCCCCGTTTGTGTAGGCCACCTTGACAATGTAGGGTCTATCCCATCGTGATCGGAATTTCCCTTAAAAAATGAAGAGGTACGAATTGTACAAGAGCACTTTTTGGCCGGGCTCAAATGACTTTCTCAAAATTGATTTCTCATTGAAAATTTTTGCCCTTTCTTTGTGAATTCTAGAGCTCTCGTATGCATCTCTAGAATTTCCTCCAATTCATTTAACTTCAACTTCCTATGTTCCCCAGCTATCCTCAAATTGAAATTCAAGATTTTTATGGCCCAATATGCCTTGTGCTCCATCTTTACTAGCAAGTGACAAGCCTTGTCGTAGAGTAGCCAATAGGTAGACATGCCAAGGATGGTCTTATAGGCAGTGCAGTAAGCCCACAAGGAATTGGTCAATCTGAGTGACCAATCCTTTTGATTTGGTAACCATTTTCTCTAGCATGCTTTTTTCTCCCTATTGGCCAACTTGAGTTGGTGATTAGCACAAAATATTGCACGTCATGTATGCTTTTATACCCTTTTATATTTGCTTTTGTGGGGAATGGGAATAAATGCAATTAATCAAACAATTAATGAAGTTGATGTGTGATTATAGGTAAAGAGTTGTATAGGGCTTGAGTTAAGCCTACATTGTAGTGCTCAAAGTCAATGGAGATGAGGGGCGGCTTAATGGGAGGCTTGCAAGGTGAAGAAATTAAGAAAAAGGTAAATCAAAATAAAATCATTCGGAAGGTTTGGTCATAGACCTTCCGGAAGGTTTGCACACTGGAAGACAAAGACTCTACCCTTGCTAAAACCTTCTGAAAGCTTTTGCTTTGAACTTCCGAAAGGTTTTGCACACTAGAGCTGGTTCTACCACAAACCTTCCGGAAGCTTTTGCTTAAAAACGTTAGACACCCACAACTCAAGCTCTGCCACTTTGGGGTCTCACCATTGCTTCTCCCGAATATTTTCTGACATTGTCTACATACAACCATGCCTACATGACCCTAGCTTCTGACTTCTGAGGTTGGAGGATGGAGAATGAAGAGAGAGAAGGAGAGAGGCATAATGGTTGCTGGGTATAGGCTTGCCTTCGCCTGTTAAAGCCATCAACTCACCTCCCATTGATGGGAGACCTGCACACACAGGCTATAGGAGCCTCATGGACAAAAATGCAAAAGAGTTGCACCATTGTAGACCATTACTCAGCATTTTAGAGAAAGAAGCTCAAGGAAAAAGACATAGTTTAGAGAGTGAAAATTTGGATTTTTGCAATATCTTACCCATTTCACATCTAGTAAGTTGTAAGACTCTTGTAATCTTCATTTATTGCACCTTAATGTCATTTATTTCAAGTGTGTTTTATGTTTAGTTGTGTATCATGGAATCCACCATTGTTACAATTAAGTTTTTCTTCTCAAGCTTTCCAAATTGGTATTAAATGCACTTATATTTGTAGATAACTTTCTTTGCATTAAAACAAGTCTTACTCTCCATTCATTACCATGTTTCTTTCTGCATTGTATGTCTTTGCATTTAATATGAGTAGCTAAGTTATTGTTGGCTAATCCAAGGGAGATTTCCTCTCAGCTATGCTAAATCAACTCTCCTCCATTCTTCCTCATAGTATAAAGTGTTTGGTTTGACTAGGTTGAGTGCAGATGTGGTTGTGAGATCTTGATACATCGTAAAATTGTCACAGGGTATGCTTGAGACTACACCTCTACTTTAGTCCATCACGTCCTATGAATCAATCGAACACCTAGGCACCATTGTAATAATGTTTTGAGTTGATTTAGTATTCCTATTGGAATGACCACTTCAGATTGACCAACTTTGTTTCCATTACATTTTAATCAAAAACTTCACTCACCAAAACATAAACTCACAAGATTTTACACTTTTACACTTTTACACTTTTACACTTTCACAAAATCACCTTCACATGATTCAACCATCCTTCCCAGAGGAGACAACCTAGAAATACCAATTCCAAGTAAAACACGACACTCAAAAGTCCTTCTTCGCTTGGAGGCACTTTTGCACACATACACACACATTTTCATCCTCATGCATTTTCCCATTTCTAAAATTAAACCTGGGAGAGTGATACTCACCTACACACATAAGCCATATAGACTTAGTCCAGGTTAGTGTTTTGGAGATCAGGGTGAACACAATCAAGTATTTTTGGCGCCGTTGCCATCTAAGGCAAAGCGTGGAATTAGAAGGTGATTTTAGACAACTGAGGTAAGTCCCGTGATTCTTATCATGGGCCGAGGTACATTGCTCCTTGTATATACTTTTGTTTACTAGTCATTTCTATTGTAGATATTGTTTCTTTGTGTGAGGACAGGTCGACCAAAATAGATTGGTTAGATGACCTT